TCAAATTTATTACCCAATAACTGCATTAATTATTAGTTTAAATTTTCCTACCCAATCATTCAAATAAAATTTATTTCAGCAACTAATCTGATTAAGCTTACTTCATGGGACAATTTTCAGGCAGTAGTTCCCTTAATTTCATAAAATGGATGGATTTGTGAAAATAATCGGGCTAAACTATAAAATACTCGAAGAGTGGGATTTTTTTTTTTTGTTCCTTTTTTTTTTTCTCTCAAATATCTTAATGATGGGATAATTTTAACATAATAATGATTGGCTTTTTCCTTTTCTTTTTCTTTTTCCAAAAAAAAAACTTTTATTTCATTTATTTATTTGTTTTTAATGTCTAAAATGCTTTATTTTTTCATTTGCATTTTAAACTTTTTTTTTGCTAAATTGAAATTCATAAATAAATTTTTGGAAAAAAAGAAGCTAAAAAAAAAAGTTGAAAAGAAAACGAAAATAACTTTATATAATTAATAAAAATAAGTATAATTAGCGCATATTATATCTCTCTTTTATCAAATTTTTTTAAAATTACTGACGTGTAAGACCTGTAGTTTATTTTGAATCCAAAAAAAAAAAGGGAAAGTTGTTGAAAATATTAAGAGATAATCATTTCGAATATTTTTTTGTTTTCGTCTTTTTTTTTTTTGGCAGTGAATTTATTGGAATTAAAAACTATTAATGGTAAAAATATGAAAGGATCATACATTCTTCATTTAACAAAGTAACATATTTTGCATTTTTAGTTTCAATCAATACAAAATATTAAATATTAAATAAAAAGAGATTTAAAAATAAAATTGAAAATAGAATGATATTAAATATCTTACTATTTCTTATATTATCAATTTAAATGAATCATGCGTAATTCTCATTTCTAAATGAATGCCCTAAAAATATGCTTAATTAATGTTTCATTAAAATTTGTTTATCTTTTAATAATTTTCCAAATAAACGGGTGGAACTTCTTTTTTTTGAATTGTTCTAAAAATTTTAATTTTTAATTTTTACTTGAACTTTCCACCTAATTCACATCTAAATATTTACATAATGATTCTTTTCAAATAATCAAAACATTTTATGGTTTAAATGAAATGTTTTAACATCAGACAATTTGCATTTATTCATTTCCGATTCAATTATTGATTATATTTCGAGGAGTACAACTACCGTATGATGCACCGTATGAAATTGTAAGTTTTATTTGCAAATAATTCAAGTAAAAGAAAAAAAACAAATCATATATAATTTTTAGCTTTGAAGTTAACCTTTTTTTTAAATCAGTTCTTTAATTTCAAACAAAAAAAACTTTAAATATAATTCTAAATATAAATTTTTTAAGTATAGTTTTAGTATACAAAAAATTTTAAACGTTATTTTAACTTATAATTTTAAATACTGTTGAAAAAATTCTTTATCTAAATTAATTTTTTCGTCTGTTTTTTTCGTTTTTTATCAAAACAAGTTTGGATAAAAAAAGCAATTGTTTATTAATGGTTAGTTTTTGCTTTTATTTTTGTTATTTTTACATTCTATAAAAGTTTGTTATTAGTGTTTCAAAGACAAAAAAGAAAATGAAAGATTTAAAAATCATAAATTTCTGAAATTATCTGCTACCGTAATTCATTTTTAGATATAATTTCTTCTGAACAATGGAAAATTAAATGGAGAGTACACTGATACAAATTAGTCAAATTAGGTTAATCACCTATTAATTTGATACGTTTTGGACGTATTACGCAAGACATTCATGGATGATATAAGGATTATTGCCTGAAATAAAAAATAAGAAAGGTAAGTAGTTGAGACAAAGTGAAATGAAGAATTTGATAGCATATTTTTAAACGTAAATTAATTTAAACATTTAAAAAAGCAGCAGTTCCAAAATGATTTAATTAGGCTTTTAGCAAGAAA